TGAAAATAATAATCATAATTTAATTTCACTTCTCTCTGCATGTGACACACACACACAGCAGTGGAGGAAGGGATAAAATGGGGGTATAAAGCTTCTCCCAGAATTCACAGTGCTTAAATTATAGAGGTGCTATTTATGGTTTTACACCATAACCAAACATGCCAAATTTCAGGGCCAGTGTCAGTCTTAGAGGTGTAGAGAAGTTCCTTTTTGTCAATGTTCCTTTGTACAAATCTCACATGGTCAAATGACTAAGATGGAAACAAGTGTTTTGCTACACCCCTTGTCCCACATTTTGATTCCTAACACATGGAGTCTCCCCTGCTAGCCATGCCCATTTTGGGAAAGTCACTATGGAAATGATTGATAGTTTTGAGAAGATGACACGCAAGAAAGCCACACATCCCACACCCTTTCACTCCCTCAAGTACTTGAGGGAGAAGAAAGATACTTGAAGTGTGAGAAGGATGGAGAAAATTATGAGGAGGGGAAGAATTCCTCACCCTGGAGTCTGGATGAAGCCTCCCTCCAGCTGAGAAACAAGAATTCTGGTACAATCAGAAGTGAAAAGTGGCAGACTAGTATTCCTTTGATATATGGACATTTTATGTTAAAATAGCAATGAATCAGGATCAAGGCCTGAATGTATGTGATCTTGATATATGAACGCATTCCTTTTCCCAGACATTATTTGGAAATCCCAAGCAAGACTGTTGATTTGGTTTATGGCAAAGACACCCTACCGTCTTGCATGCCTGTGACCCAGCCTTCTACCTTATCAAATGTCATCCACTTAGGAACCTATGAGGAACCCGTTGGTCATTTCATTTAGGGTCTTTCCTAGTTGACTTCAGCTGTCAACCTGATGCATTGCCTGTCTGAGGGAATTTCAACTGGAGGATTGCCTCGACCAGACTGACCTGTAGGTGTATAAATAGGACAATTTTTTGATTACTAATTGACGTGAGAAGGCACAGTACACTGTGTGTGTGTGTACCACCCCTGCACAGCTGGTCCTGCAATTTTAAAGACTCAGGTTGGACATGAGCCAGAAAATGTGATCCAATAAACACTTTACCTCCATGGCCGAACCTTCCGTTCCTGGTTGAGCTTCAGTCCGGATTGCCCGTGATGATAGACTGCAATCAACAAGCTGAAATACACCCCTTCATGATGGTGTTTGTTTATTAAAACAGTATTAAATAAACAAGGACAGAAATTGGAATAGGAAGTGGGGTGTTGTTTTGACTGACCTGACCATGTTGTTTTAGGGTAGAAATGTTGAAGTGTTTGGGTTGGAAAAGCTTTGAGTGCTCAGAACTTAATGGACTGGCATGTGAGAGCTTGGATGATAAGAATGTTGAGAAAAATACAAACATCATAGAGGTCTGGCCTGTGATACTTCAATGGAAGCTTTGACTATCATGTCTAGGCAATCGAAGCTACATCTCAAGCTGGCAGCCAAACTTTGGTGTGAGAGACTCTGCCGTATAGTGCTGTTATTGGTAGCATGAAAGCTTCAAGATTGAAGATGCCATAGGGATAAACTGAAACTTGGCATTATGAGAGACCAGCAGAGGCCATCGGGGAAGAGGTCTTGGGGCAGTGGAAATGCCAGGGTCAAAGGGTCATGATGAGAGGTTGAAGCTGAAGCTTGGAACCAAGTGGCAGGGCTGGTGTCTCACAAGAGAGGCCTGAAGTTAACTGGTGAAAAGTGAACCCTCATTTGCAGTGGAGAGTCCAGGATGTTGGAGAAGGTAGGACTGTGGTACCCACCAAAGACAGTGGCTGAAGTGGAGTGGAGACAGCTTGAGCCTACAGAACAAGCTGTGTAGGCTACAGGTTGCCAAGCCAGAGATGTGGAATTGCCTCAGCCCTTTGGAGCCCAGAAGATCTTGGCTGAGTGCAAGATGTTGGATGTTGAGCTTTTTACACTGTTCAATTTTGTTTTCTCTTTGATATGATTGTAATTGTGTCCTGATTCTTCCCTCTAGGAATGAGAAAGTATGTAACTTGTTTTTTTCCCTCCCATCTTATAGGAACCCATAGAAAAGAGATTTTGAAGTTTTAAAGTGTTAATATTTTCAAGACTGTAGAATGTTTAAAGCTGACTTGGGGGACAAAAAATGAAACATTATGGCCTAACATGACATGTTTGTATCAAGTTGATAACATGTGGATTGTCCTAGTTAACTTTAGCTGCCAGACCAGTGTTATTTTAAGGAACCACAGTGAGGAATTGCCTAGATAATGGTCTTTTGGCTAGTCTATAGGCATTTTTCTTGCTAATTGATGTAGGAGGGCGCAGTCCACCATGTGCTATATCATCTCTGGGAAGGCAGTCCTACACTGCACAAAAATCAGGCTGATCATGAGTCAGAGAGAGTGACCCAGTAAGCAGTATACCTCCACAGTCTCAGCTTCAGTGCCTACTCTTCTGGAGCACCTGCCTTGATGCCCATCAACTGTGGACTACCCCTGTAACATGAAATAAAACCTTTCTTCCCCAAGTTGCTTTTAACAGCAGTGTTTATCACAGCAACAAAGCGAAACACAACAAGTTCGTTAGCAACTTTTTGAAGATAAACATTTCAGAACCCACCAAGACCCTATATAATACTGCTGTAAAAACAATAAACTGAGGCTGCCTCTCTTGATGAAGCCACACCAATTTTCTCAGCTGCAAGCACCTTCTTTTCTTCATCCTCTTGCTTAAAATCTATACAAACATAAAAAATCATGCAGATTTGCAAAAGAAGCAAAATACTTTTATTTGGAGCCAAGCAATGAGGTAGATTAAAGCTGGATGCATAGTAACGACTGACAGTGAACCACATGAGTGAACATTCTCAGAGACTTTAAGCTGCAGCCTGAGGTATCTTTTTATAGTGTCAAAGGAAAGAGGGGTTGGTGACTAGGGGATGTAGTTAAAGTGGTTCTCTACTTAAATTGAGGTTGTATTGTCATTTTTTTTTTCCTATTGAGCATGTCCCTTCCCATAATGCATTTTTAAAGGGTTTTTGAGATAGGGTTTCTCTGTGTATCCCTGACTGTCCTGGAGCTTGCTCTGTAATCTGACTGGCCTGTAATTCAGAGATCCACCTGCCCTTGCCTTCTGAGTACTAGGATTAAAGGCCTGTACTACCACTGCCTGGCTAATGCATATGCTTGGACATAATGCTGGTAAATAGGGGGATTCTCCCTAAAAGAAGATGCTGTTTTGCCTTAATTCATATCTACACAAACTAGTTCAGGTTGGACAAGCCCTTCTAGTCTTCATACTCAGATATGTGGGGAATACACTTGAACAGAAACTGTCCATATTTGATTGTTACCAGGAGTCGGAGAACCAACACTATTGCTATCTGAAAATACATGTAGCCTGGAGCAGTTGGAGGGGCCAGGGGACTGGGAGGTTGTTAGGGGCATTGTTTAGAGAGGAGTGCATGTGTAGAGTGTGCAGGTGAAGTAACCACACTGCCAAGTGGGAGGTGCACTAAAGCCACCTTCTACTCTGGCTTCTCCATCCTCCCAGAGTTCAGAATATATTTAGGGAGCCAGGCATGTATGTGTGAGCTAGATGTTTCCCCTCCAGGTGGAGGACAGCAGGGTCGTCATAGCTGGTCAGAATCCAGGACAGGGTAAGACTGGATTTGTCTTTCCAAAGAGGTGGAATTCCAGTATGAGAAGCCTGAAGGGCTGCCTCTAATGAACCTGGAACTTGTTGTTTTCCCTTTCCTGTTGAATTAATGAAAAAACTGTACCCAGAAAGTAAGCCTTGTACATTGCAGGCAAGTACTTGCTCTGCTGATGAGCTGCTCTCTGCCTTGGAAGTAGATTTTCTAAGAAGTTTATCTTTCAAAGATCCTTCTTAATCATTTTTCTTAGCACATTCTAAATCACGCCCTTTTTACATGGTTAACAAATGCAGAATTGCAAGAGTGAAACCATTTTTATGGGTCTGCATGAGAGGCTGAATTATCACCAGATATAAGTTGAGGCTCTGCTCCGTTTTGTTTTTGTTTTCTCTTTTTTCTTGCTTGCTTTGGCTGATAATTTTTGAGACTGTGCAATCAATGAAAGGAAGGCAGTTTAGAAATCATAACAATAAAAAAGACCAACCAACCAACCAACCAACCAACCAACCAACCAACCAGTTTCCTGGCAGGTACTTAGGCCCAGACCACCTGCTCATTTGTGCTTCTAGTGGTGAGAAATCCCAGACTTTTGTGGACTTTAAGAACAGCTTTCTCCAGACTCCAGATAAGGTGCAAAAGGAAATGGCAACATGGGGTTGGGGCAGTTAGTGGATCTTTAGGGAAAAGACTAGGCACAGCAACAACAGTTAAGGCATATACTATGCCCTTCAGATGACCTCCAAGGTGTAAAAGCATCTTCCCCTTTCTTCAGTCCTCAACCTTGCTCTGCTTTCCTGTGCCTTTTGATACACCATAAACCCGTTAAGATTCCTACAAGCCTCAGGAATATTTACCAGCAAGGGAGAGACATAAGGAAATTAGTCAGATAATTGTTGTGATGGGCTTTGTTCTGTAGAAGTTAAATTTCTGGGGCAAGAACCTCTCTCTCTCGCTCTCTCTCTCTCTCTCTCTCTCTCTCTCTCTCTCTCTCTCTCTCTCTCTCTCTCTCTCTCTCTCTCTCGCTCTCTCGCTCTCTCGCGCTCTCTCTCTCCACCTCTCCTACTCCTCTCCCTTTCTCGACCACCCCCACCTTTATTTGGCTGCCTTCCCCTCCCTTCTCTGGACTTCCCAGTTCTACCCACGACACCTGGCGGGAGGAGAACCTTACAGGTTGTCAATGAAACATGGAATTATTTCCTTTGATGGCTTAGATAATAGTAGGAGCCAAAGCAATGAGTGAGGTCGGCCGAGACCAATGCAGTCCTGCCCGGGACTGGAGAGCCAATCACAAGAGCAGGAGGCGGGGCGTCGGCGCCAGCAGATAATTGCTAAGTGCATCGCTAGCACAGTTGGTCTGAGCTGCTGAAAGGTCTGGTCGCAGAGGCAGGAACGCAGCATCCTCAGCGTGCTCCATCCCGGCCGCGACCTCCTGCGCTCGGCGGGGCAGCGAGCCTCCGGACAAGAGCCCCTTTGCTTCTCGGAGAAGGTACCTTTATCTGTGTCCCGGGAGAGGGGGCTGCTTCCGCTGTGTTTTCGCACAGGCTTGCAGTTAGCACAGGTGGAGGGATTGCAGAGAGAAAAGTTTAAGGGGAGGAAAGGTGACAAACGTGGAGACCATTATCTTTTGTTGGGAGGAAGACAAGCCTACAATTTGGAAAAACTTCTGCACTGTCAACAGCTAGGCTTGTTTACTACTCTTAATTAACTGCGCCCAGGTCCCTCAAATGGGTCTGGTTTGGGGCTAGAGGACCTGCAGGATTAGGGTGTAGACTCAGGTTTGCTGGGTGGCTGAGACTGGACCCGGATCGGCAGCTTCCCGGGCCATAATGATGCGGTGACCATATCCTCGAGCTGGTTCCAGAAGCAAGCTTGGTTTGATTGGATTTTCTACCATCAGTTCTGCCCTGTCCGCTGTACTTTGACCTGCCTTGCCCAAACTACAGTGACCTTCAACTCCAGTCCTTCCTCAAACTTTTCTCATCTTCTCCTGGGTTACTTTTGCCCACTGTCTCTCCATCTGTCTTCATTTGGTGAAAAGAGGTATTCGGTAGGGTGTAGGAACCTGTCCCATTTGACCCTGTGAACATCTATATGCACATCACCCAACTTGGTGAGAAATAAACCTTTGCCATTGACAAAAAAAAAAAAAAAAAATGACTTCACTGATTAGCTGCTTAAACATTCTGGAAGACTTTCCTAATTTGGTATATATACCCTGAAAAACAGTGGGGCTGTAGCTAAATTTTATCTCAGGGTGCTTTACACTCCTATCAGAGAAAAGAATTCTGAGGCCCCACAGCTCTGAATGTGAGGCTGCTGGGAAGGGAAGCTGCTGGGGGCTAGTTCTGAGGAGATTCGCAGGTGCACTTGTGGCAGGAAGAAGGTGCCGGAGTCCCTGCTCCTGCTTCTGGTAACTGCTCTTCAAGTAGAAATGCTCACCATGGCCCATGGTTGGCTCTTGGCTATCCCACACTGTGGAATTGCAAGGGCCTCATTTGCACCAAGACCCACTTTTGATGCTGGAGATAGCTCCTTTCTGTCAACTTTTGCTGCAGGGAAGTGGACCTTGAGGAAGTGGTGTCCCCAGTGCCAGTGAAGGTGATGTGCTTGGCCTTGAACTCCCTGTGTGCACATACAGGTAGTTAGTCCCTGGTGCTCTTTGCTCCAAGGCATGCAGTGGTGTGTCATACTTTCTCTGAGGCTCCCAGTCTCCAGGGGATATTACAAGTCCCCTGGATTCAGGGGTACACAGTCTGGGTGAAACCCTTCCCTTTGATTTCTGTCCCAGACTCGAAGCCAAGGACGAGTCCTGACAAGGGTGTTCTGGGTAGGGTTCTGAGTAGGACTGTGTCCCTGAGACACTTTTCCCACTGCCTCAGAGGTGTGATAGCCTTGATTTTTCCGCCCCATCAACTGTTCCCATGTTCAGTTCTTGTGTCCTTCACTCACTACCACACACAACAGGTTCGCCTTCACTTCCTCCAGGCAACTGTTTTGGATGGGAATTGTTACTGAGGAAGTTCTAGTCCCCATTCTTGAAGAGATAGCTGTCTAGCTTTGTATGGTTACAGCTGGCCTGGATGCCTGACCTCTTTTGTGCACGTGTTGGCTGGAAGTAGCAAAACAAACCCCAGGTTCTGCATAGCATGACTCTTGTTATCCAAGGTCCCTGAGTGGAAGCAAACTTTCTAGGTGGCTGGGGACAGTTCTTAAGGACTTTTTTCTCTGTAATGTAAGCTGGCACACGATTCCAAAGAGGCCATGGGGTCAGTACCCAGGCACTGTGACCTGGATGCAGACACCCTGTTTTGTTTTGTTTTGTTCCGTTCTTTAATGTACATAAGAATAAATTGAGCAAGCTTTTGAGTTTGCGGGGTGTCTTGGGCCAGAAACCAGGAGCAGAACTTAGGTTCCCTCTTCGAATTATGCCAGCCTGAGATCTGTTGATGTCTATCATGATAGAGAACATTAAAGCAAGGCCTTTTAAAACCTCTCCTCGTGGTGACTCATGCACAGAGGAAAAGGCTGGGTGGGGGAGGGAGCCAAGGGAGCTTTGGAAAGTGAAGTGGGACACCCTGGAGCACCGGCTTCTCCCTCCTCCTCCTCCTCATTCCTCTTCCTTGGATTTCCTCATTTGGAACAGAGATCATTAAAATCACAACTTAAGCTAAAAAAGAATTGAATATAGGAGCTAGAGAGTAATTGACAAAACCCAAACCACGCTCATTGTAGCTTTTTATCTTGGATAGTTTGAGCACAAACCCCAGGACCCTGAGAATGTATGTGGCTGATTAACTCCTGTGAGGCTGGCTGCTTGCTTGTGTGTGAAGGGACTGATGAATGCTCAAGAAATTAAATTTGTTGGTTGTCATTTCATCGAATTGAACATGATAGCTTTGGCTAGAAACCTGGATGGGCACCATGCATCCATGTAGTATTTTTCTTTTTGCTCAGTTGGACAGCTAGGGCTTCTGCTCTGAGCTACTGCGATGTGGAGGGGCTACATCCCTCTGCTGTTCCAACCCCAGTGTGATTGATTGCCCTGGCAAATAAGAGACTTCCTCTACCCCTCAGGACCTCAGTGCCCACCATCCTCCTTGTCTTCCCTTTCCATGATAAACATGTCAATAACTAATCTCTTTGCCAACCTTCTTCGATCTCATCATTTTGTGCAGATTTTGCAGTTAAAGGAAATCAGGCCCAGAAATAGGATTGGAAACATATTACAATTTCTATCAGAGAAGTGTCTTTTTGTTTTGTCTTATAAAATTTAATTTTGTGGTTTTGGGGAAATCAAATAAGCATGTTTATTGGGTTAGGCATTTTGGTAAATACTGTCATGATGTCTTCTTTCTCTTTGCGGATCTATGAATTTCCCAGCTATCCTCAGGGAGGGTGTGTCTGCAGGTTTGAAGCAGTCTGGAACATCCCTGAAAGTCAACAAAATTAAGTTGCAATGTGCCACTGTTTATTCAAAAATGGCAAAAGGCTTTTTTGAAATCTAAGATCAGCATCCTTCCTGCTCGAGTATCCTCCGGTCTTCATTTAGGAAAATCCCAGAGCCGAAAATTATGAGTACATCTGAGGCACTTTTCTGTACACTCACCCTGCATCCTTCATCCCAGCTGGGGACTTAGTTCATCTGAAGCAGGCACCTTACTCGATTTGATAGTAGGTGTATTTCACTTCCCTTCATCCATTCTGGTTCTTCAAGCCATCTCAGAGCACCCTATGTGAGATGTGAGATTTCCTCATAGACACCCTGTTCACATCATTTCAGAAAGAGTTAAACAGAGTACCTAGGAATGCTGGGCTAGCCATGGGAGACTGCCCTGTGGAATCGATGAGGTAATCCTTCCACTCAGTTCACTCCTAGCTTAGACCTCAGTAGAGTTCATGGGCTGTGGGGCTGCTGGTTCTGTGAGGCAGACAGGGTAGACATTTCTGGGAAAAGGTGATTCCTACCAGGTACAGGAATCCTGCTGCTTTTCTGTCCCGAGACCCCTCCCCCACCCCCTTCCACAGGCTGCACATGGTCCAGCTGGGGACTGACCTTGGGAACATTAAGGGATAGTGCAGTTTGTCTGCCATTCTCCCTATTTCTTTGTTCTCTCCTAATCATCATCTATCAGTAATTAGAAAAGATCAAATTACTCCCTTACACTAAGTTAACTGTGTAACTTAGAGAGGCATTGAAGTCTTTCTCCTGTATTTGTAGAATGAATCACACTACCATCAAATTACACACACACCCAGTAGTTGCGTTTTAAGAAAAAAAAATCCCAAAGGTGTTTGCAGCAGAAGTTTGTCATCTTCTGGAAGGACAAGAAAGACAGAACTGGAGAGATGCGAACGACGAGGCTGTGGCACCTTGCTATCAGTTGAGGCACTGCCTTGACTTCTCAGGGAGTTGTGGCCATAGTTGGGAGTTGTAGCTGTTATAGTGGCACATGACTATGTTCCTAGTACTTGGAAAGTGGAGCAGGAAGATCTGGGGTTTAAGGCAAGCTTAGGCCATATAAGGAGAGCTTTACACCCCCACCACCACTAAAAAAGAAACAGAAAGAAAAGAAAAAAAGGAATATTGGGTCTGGCACTTGAGCCCTGGGATTTGATCTTGGGCATTACACTCATTTGCTCTTTTGGCTTTTAGTTTCCTCCTGTGTAAAAAGAGCAGACCATGTTCTTCTAGGTCCCTTTCTGCAGTGACCTTCTCTTTTGATCTTGCCAGGGAGTCTACCTCCCGCTGTGGAGGCCACAGCTCTGCAGCCTTCCCATGCTGCCATGGTGACTGGTCATACTTTCAGAGCTAGAATCTATGAAGATAGGTCGTCGGGAGGCACAGTGGATGGTGTGGCAGAAGAAAAAACAGGCTGAGGGGTGATGTCATAACTGTTTCTGGTTTAGGAGGGGATGTTATATGGAGGATGGCGACCAGCTGTTCTCCATCTCCAGTAAGGATTGAACGAGAGAAAATAGACAGAAATTGCAGCAGATGGACTTAGATTAGGTATGAGGAAGAATTTTCCATCAGCAAGAATTTTTTTTTTTAAAAAGGGAAGGTTGTGAGCCTCCAAGATAATCTTTAAGAAAAGGATAAGCAGAAGGTGTTAGCCGGAGTTGAGGACTGTGAGTAGGTAAAGGGCAGGGTTCCTTGAACTGCAGGCTCCATCTCTCCTGGAGAAAACCTACAACCATTTCTCCCAAACTCCACCCTTGGCTTCCTGGCTGAAAGCTGGAGTGCTTGGGGTGAGTCAGGAATGCAGGGAATCTGTGAAACCCCAGGTTAGAACCCTCTCCCACTCTGTCCTGAGCTGGCTGCCACCTTGATGGGACTATTGTGCCCATTGTCTAGAGATCCTCTGTCTGCTCTAATCTTTTGTTGCAGGCCTAGAAAATGATCTCAGAGAGGTAAAAGCACTTCGTGGCATCACCTAGGGGGTCAGTGACAGAACTGAGACCAGAATTAATAAGCACGCTTCCCCA